GGGGGGGGGGGGGGGGGAATAGTAGGACAATCAACCGTGAGCCTGTGTGTGTGTGATTGTAAAACCCTGAAGAAAGTATAGATCAGCCACTGAATATACAACTCGCACTATACAACTCCAGACAAAGTAAAAAGACTATAGACTGGATCATTGCTATTTTCTACTGCATGCATAGTATGCAAATAGAAGATTATATGGGGAATAGTAGGACCACCATGAGGGTCCAAGACAATCTCGTATTGGTAATAATAAGTAACTTTTTAATGTAGATTGCACAGGGTGTGGTTACTCAAGGAAATTTTAGGGTTGGTCTCTGGGGAAGGAGGATAACCAGAGGAGCGGGTTAAAGCAGTACCCGGCAGAGACATACCTGTATATGTAACTCCAATGGTACAGGTCTGACGTTCGGATGAAAGTTGAACAATCCTGTCGCTTGTGCTCCCAACCACTGAGCAACATCCTACAGAAAAAAACCATTTTACTACACGGCACGTTTCAAGTCAAGCAGGTTAGTAGTATATAATGAAGGGTCTTGCCTTGTATAATACTATCTAAACTGGACCCCTCGTTTGCGACTTAGTTCGGACTTACACTGGACACCAGCATTTGAGAAATACTTTTCAAGCTGTTGTTAAAAACGTTAAGAAAAACTTCGGATTTATAGGGATGCAACTACCTGACAAGGCCGGATTTTGGTGGAAATAGTGGGTGGAAAAAAATTTAGGGGAGGTGCAGCAGTCTAGCTCACGATCCCCATGGAAAGTACGGGCCAAAGTCAACGACGTGACGTATGCATGTAGTGTACAATGTATCAGTGTATTAACTAATTATGACTGTACAACTCATCCAATTTTGCCCTTCATTCCAATTGCTACAATGTTTCTTTCAAAACATTGCATTAAAAGGGTACTTGACACATAGGTGAATGGCTATCACTGTTTCAATTTTACAGAAAAATTTTCTTGCAAAGTGTAGACCCTAAGCAACCAAAAAATGTCAAATTTTCACTATCATTGAAACTTTCCCAAGGGGAGGTGCATGACTTTTCAGGGGAGGTGCAAAAATTCTCAGGCGAGGTGCAAAACGATCGATCCCAGGGGTAGTGCGCACCTCCCCTCAAAATCCAGCCATGCTACCCGAAACACTCAAAATTCTCCTTTTATTTTTCAGGTAGTTGTATCCCTACCAATCCGTAGTTTTCTTATTGTTGGCACTACCCACACTGGCACAGACAGTTCAAGATTATATCACAGAAGAAATCCAGTGACAATATTAGCCGTGTTTACACTAAGGGACTGACATTTACCTGTACCTGAGAAGTATCTAGCCAGGCTTTACACAGTGTGTTTACATTTGTTACCTGACTAAATGCCCAAGTCCCATTGAATTGGCCATTATATACATGCAAAATCAATTACTATACAAAGTACTAGAAAATGACATCCGCTGAGTGCTGACATCAAAGACTCAAATTTGTTGTCATGGAAATTACTAAATTAGCCTCGAGCACGTCTTGGGTCAATGAAAATGTATTTACACTGCAGGCCTGACTTGAGACTGACCCAAGGCCATGTTTTCAGGCCACCTCCAATTCTTAGGTGCTAAAATATAAATGCGAAAATACCTTCGAGTTCCCAAGAGAAGAGCTCAGCGCAACAATACGAATGTTCTTTTCGATTTGAGAAGAAATGTAACGCATTCGAGAGCAAATTACTTCCATGACAGGCTGAAATAAACGACAACGGTTAGTTTTATTAAAGCGTCGAGAAAATACAACTACTTGTAGAAAAAACTTTTCATTCAATTTGAATGATCACGGCCAGTAGGTTTTTGACAAAATACAACGCGGGACCACATACCCCATTGTCACCAGAAATAAGATGAGATTCATCCAATACAAATAAATTTACATTCTGAACATTCTTTCGTTGTTTCCAGCGACGAGAGAGAACATCCCATTTCTCAGGTGTGCTAATGATTACATTGCCCTAAAGAAATAAAAAAAATAATACTTAGTGTCGTTTACACAGAGTGCTATTACCCAATTCATCCAAGCCAAATGATGATGACAATTCACCCAAGCCAATTGACTTTTGGCGAGCGAGAAAAACCGAACGACCATTTGGTATACAGCCTAGTAGGGGACTATGAGTCCTTTTGCTCAGTACCTTGTAATTTATGTGTTGCTAAATCATTAAAATAAAAAAATAAAAAGGCCAGGTCGAAACCCCTCGACAGGACTGGAAAAGGATCGGCCCTCGGGACAATTTGGAAAATGTTTAAGTCCCTAAAACATTTTGGACGGAGAGAGAACAAATAAAAAAGGAATGAGTGGGAAATAAATGGAATAAATTGCAGCGCAAATGTGAGGTCAACAAGGTCTCGGAAGGCAAGGGTGGACAAATTTAGTCTCACAAGATATTCATTTAGACTGACTCGATATTTGATCAACTATGTTTGTTTTGTGTTCTTGCTCAGTTAGCCACATCTCGGAATATTGGCAAACAATTCTGTTCTGTAGCAGTGGTCACAGACAGAAATATTTTTGCGAGCTAACCGCACCTGTCACCCACGACCAGGGCAGGAAAAAAAATTTTCTTCCTGGGAGCACAACCTGGGGACAAAAATTTCCTGCAGACCAACGGAGTATTTTTGTGCAAAATCTGCACGTGCATAAACATATAGTGTTCTAGCTGACCATGGTTTTAAATTCAAGGAATAATGTCTGTCAACCAGATGATGTTGTGCCCATAGTGGGACATGGGTGTTAAGGTTTCCTTCAAATTTTCAATAGCAAATCTTCAAACGAATTTCCTGCAGTTAAGATTTCCTGCGAGCAGTGCTCGCCTAATTTTCCACCCCTGCCCACGTCGCTCCTGTGAGAATACAGCAAGATATTTTGACGTACCTTGGCCAATAATTTAAGGTCCGCGCTCGTTTCTCCGGTTAAAATAACGACATTCTTCTGCAATTGAACACCAAATTTACTGTGCCAGTCTGCATAAACCTAAGGAAAGGAAACAGGATCAATAAAATATCAATAGCCTTTTGCTGAAGGATACCTTCCACCGACTTACAGGCTTCTCTTGTTTATCAATCCTTAAGTAGTGTTTTCCATTAGTAGTGGAAAATTGTCTAGTAACAATATACCAGCGCTATCCAGTGTATGTTTCAGATCAGTGGTTGTTCTACTCACCTGGTCCGCGAGAGACTGGAGCGGAGTGACATAGACACAGCGGCTGTTGGGATTGATGGCAAACATGTGAAGAACTGCAAACTCAGCACAAATTGTTTTTCCACTTCCAGTGGGCGCTCCAATGAAAACGTTTTCTTCTGAGTTGTATAGTGTGTTGAATACTAGAGGAAGATATATATTCTTAATCATTGACAAACTGAACTATATTTATACCGGATAACTCTATCAGTTCTAAAGTGTTCTCGCTAGACCCCAAAGGGTATTGGGCTGTCAATTTCTCATTTGTAATTTACAAAATGACTGAAAAACGGCAAATTTCGCAAGGCTATATTATCCGCATTTTACAACATTTCGCAACGAAACTTTGGAATATTACTAATTTTGTGATGCTCTTTCAAACTGTGATGAAATTTTTGTCTAGACTTGTTTAGATCAAAATTTAGTCTATAATGCAAATGGTCCATTGGTGCAGTTTAACTACAGGAAGAAACTGGCAAGCATTTCTTTCACATGTGACTGAGGTTAAAATATGATCAGAAAATTGTACGTTGTAGGAATGGAATACTGGTCGCAGTGCTGAAACCAGAAAGGCACAACATACACTGTCCATTGTAACGCTCCTTTCCTCAAAATCAGTTGCATGAACTTAACTGCAGCCTAGGTTTGTTAAGGCTTGTTGATAACTTGCTACAAGGTTGTTGAGCTCAACAGACTTGTTACAGGTTGTTCCAACAACTTGTTATTGTCTTGCAATTCAACAATTTGTCAACAAGTTGCGAGTGACAACCTTGTAGCAACTTGATAAAATAACAACATTGTTGACAAGCTTGCTACAAGTTTGTTGCGAACACATCTTGTTGACATGTTGTGAGATTTTTACGTGTGTACACTTAACCAGCGCACAGCCGCAAGCCGAACTTTGCTAATAGTTAATGACGAATATCTGTTGTTTGGTCAACACATTTGAATTCATCTGATAACGTTTACCGTATATTTATATCGTTGCAGTAGATTTGAAATCGGCGTGACAAATCGGATTGTTTAAACTAAGCAATGTAGAGAGGTATCTGAATATACCTTGTGTTTGTATTGGATTGAAATATGGGAACTTGTCTTTATACAGAGCTTCAAAATCAACATTTCTTAAGGCAGATACTGGCAATGGTTGAAGATCCAATAATTCAGTTAATGGTGGGTTCTTTTCAGGCAAGATGAGATGACGGAATGAAACGGGAAGCTGGGTCTCAGAACCTACACAAAGTAAGCAATAAAGGAGATAAGAATTAAAAAAAAAGCTAAACAACTTTACTTATATACTGGATAGCTCTATCAGTTCAATTTAAACTATTCTCCCTACATGTCCAAAAAGAGTCATTCTTACTGATCTATATAGTGTTCCTAAAATAACTAACGTTAGTCATACTGGATAGCTCTATCAGTCCCAGTTCTAAACTGCTCTCTCTTGAGGTCCAGGAAGGGTCATCACTTATATGCAAAGTAATAGACGTCTCATCGTCACAAAGTGACGGTGAGAGCAGACTTACCTAACCAACGGTTTGACACAACTCTGATAAAATACTGGGGCGGAAGTGGTTCAAACACGGGAACGAAAAGTTTGATCACGTGCTCATCTTTCGCATATTTACTTTTGAGAAGAAAATATTCATGATGTAAAATGATTTCACTGTCGACATCTTCCACTAAGATCCAGAATGCTTCCGATGTACCGTGAATTTTCTCATCCCATTGAAAGTCTGGTGTGATGGTGAGCTCTACACTTAGAGTTGATCTGAAATTTAAAACATTCACGAGTAAAACACGGAGAAAAACAGCATTCTCGCTGGGATCTGCAGCAGCATCAGCCGCAAGCTTGATATTTATTTATCACACAACGCTCACTTTAACATAACCTAATCTGTCCGTTCTAACTTTTCCTAATAACAAAGAATGAGCGAGTGGGACTTATGTCAAGCTACGGTGAGCAACAAAAATGTGCTCATCTAACCTGCCCCACCCGATAACACCCGATCTCTATCGGGCCGCCAGCTGTGTGAGAGAAAACATTTCCCACTTTTTGCGTACCTCGGCCAGCTGAAAATACACTTAATATCCTGCTGATCCACATAAACTTGAAGTTCAAAATTTTGTCACCAAATATCATTCGTATACCTTAATATACGTGCGTTTTCATTCAGGCGAATCACAAGCGTATATCTCATATATAGTATATCTAAAGTTGGTTTTCAAAATTGCTTCGCCAATCGAACTTTTCAAATGTTGCTTTCTCTGCAACAACGCAATTTTTCGTTGCGAGACAAGTTGCAAATTAGGGGTGTAATGGTGTAATACAAGGCAATATTGCTTGATTAAGTAGACGCCAGACTCACCTTGTTATTGGCTGAATATGTGTAGCGAGCTCTAGTTTTGGAAGTTGGTGGATAAACTTGTGTAAGGTTTTTCCCATTTTTGGCATATGAATCAACTCTCCGATCTCCTTCGTGCCAAGATCATAAAATCTTTCCCAAGGAAAATCTTTCTTCTCAATTTTCTTGATCACTTCCATTGGGATTTTTGTAAATTGACGTAGTGGAGTCATTGATAACCACCTTATATGTAAATAGAAAGGAATTGCAAACTTAGACTTTTCAAATCAGACCAGACAAATTCAGAATCATACGCAAATTATTCCACTTGTTCACACAGTAATCCGTACAGTTAGTTGTGTCAGCAGTTTTTGCTTGCTTGTTTGTTTGCTTGTTTGTTTGTTTGTTTGTTTGTTTGTTTGTTTGTTTGTTTGTTTGTTTGTTTGTTTGTTTGTTTGTTTGTTTGTTTGTTTGTTTGTTTGTATGTTTGTTTGTTTGTTTGTTTATTTGTGTTTGTTTGTTTGTTTGTTTGTTTGTTTGTTTGTTTGTTTGTTTGTTTGTTTGTTTGTTTGTTTGTTTGTTTGTTTGTTTGTTTGTTTGTTTGTTTGTTTGTCTGCTGTTGGAGCACAAAACTATTCTGTAAAGGAATGTATCATAAGATATGCTGTTGGAGCACAAAACTATTCTGTAAAGGAATGTATCATAAGATAAAAAATTGAAAATATTTCTCTCTTGCGATCAGACATATCTATGTATAAAGATACGACTGTGACATGAGAGATATTTTGCTTTCCCTCCACTATATTTCACAGACATGAAGTTTGCACCATATCTGCATGATAATAACGGAGGATCTAGAAATTAAGGGGCAGATAAAAAATTCGTGCAATGTTCGATTTCAAAATATAAAGTGCTGGATCAGAAATAAAATGAAAAAGTTCTTGGTCATTAAAAACAGATAGATATTTAATATTAAACATTTTCAGTCCGCCGTTCTCGAGCAGTTCATAAGCAAAGCACAAACGAAATCAGTAGCTTATCGTTATCTGGATACTACGGTATTAAACGTCCATAAAATTATGTTAAAACCTCGGCCTCGTATTTCAGCAAATTTTTCAGTGTACTAAATTACTAAAATAAAGTCGTATGTGACATATTACTTACATTCTTTTGTTGATCATTTTGCACAAATTCAAAGTTTTATCAGCAAGTTGAGCCCAGCCTCGGTTCACGACGATCTCAAAGACGGCGGAAATAAGTCGACCTGCGGACTAAAAAACAAAACATTATTTTCCATTGACAAAGTTTTATACACACGACAAACGTTCCCTGGACCAGTACTTGCCAATTGCACTACGTACAAAGAACTGGGCTGGTGTATTAATTTCGGTGGTTAGAGAGGGGGAGGCATTTTGCCCTGCCCCCCCCTCCCCAATTGAAAAGGGGGCCCCAAAACAACGAAGGCCCTTACATTTCTTGATACAAGATTGTTTAACTGAGAATATAAATCCTAGCTGCGTTAGTGTTGGAGGCTATATAGAGCTCCCAAAAATAAAAGTAGAGGACTTGTGAAAAGTTAAAAATACACCAAAATCAGGGAAAAATGGCCAGAAAATAAACGATATTATGTCCCGAAAATTTCTTTGACATCCCCCCCCCCACCTGTCGACAAGAATTCCGGGAAAATTTTATGATAGAGAAAATATTTTTTATACACCGGACAATTTGATGAACGTCGTAGAAGGTTTGAAAGGTTTTGCCCGGGCCCTGCGCAACATCTTGGCGGCACTACATGTGTCCTTTCACTCTTCATGGTTTGATTCCTGTAACGTACTGTTGTTTGATCATAATTTCACCTTAATCACATGCATGTTTTATTAGAACTGCTAGTGGCAGATTTCTTCTTTTTTTAAAATTTCAATAGATACATACCTGAGTGACATAAACCATGTCAGACATGAGAGCAAATCCTTCCAGTTTCAGTTGGGAGATATATGCTTGTAACAACACATTCACCTGAATATAATCCAATAAATTTCTTGTTAATGAAGAACTCCCCAATTAGAACATTCAGCTATGCTTAAGGCATTTATACTATCAAAGTTTCTGTGATCAAAGTAGGAGTTTTGCATTGGAAAATTTTAAGTTTTGAAGGATTTGTAAGAAATGTTTGATGGAACTAACTCAGTGTTTAAAAGTTTACAGTTTCCTCAAACATTTCTCCCAAAATCCTTCAAAACTTAGAATTTACTGATGCAAAATTCCTACTGTGAACACAGAAATTTTGATAGTGTAAGCCAGCCTTTACTAACTGGAGAATAAATATCTACGAATGTTTTATGATAAGGTATGGTTCCATCGAGATATACGTGAAATTATGCAACTACAAGGAACAGTGTAAGTTAGTCAAGAATGTCACGTTGTTAGCAAACAGCGATGATGCTCTCAAGACTTTCCAGTTCGTTCGCAGAACGACTGAGTATGGTAAATTTAAGGACATGTTTCATTATTTTATAACTAAGTTCCAATGTTTCTGTTTCATTGACGATGAAAGGACTTCATGTAAGACTATTTTAATGTTTTAGTTAGTCGGAGTTTACTCGGACCTTAGTCGGAAGGGTTCGTAGGAAAAATGTGATGAGCTTGTAGAAATGTTTTGAACACGTTTTCGTATGGTTTTATGAAGTTTATAAAGTTTTAAGTAAGGTTTATTATTGTTAAATGTTAAGATAAAAGGAAAAGGATACTTGCTTAGGACAGATGTAAGTAGAAAGCCTTAGTTAATTCATTTTTGTGATTTAGTACTAATTTAATACATGTAAACATACCGATTTAATTTCATTATTATTTAGTTTCAGATTGTTGTTATTTGTGAATAAATCTTAATACTGAAATCCCAAGCGTGTATTGTATTATTGGATTATTGTATGTTAGCTCCAAGTTATCGTCGGTCCATTATCTGAAAATCTTGGTGTTTATTTAACGTGCTGATCGTGGTTTGGAGCTATTAAAGTATTAAAATGGATAAAGATAAAGTCAAGAATATTCGACGGGCTGCAAAAGGCACATTAACGAGGGCATTTATCGCTTGTAAGAATCTTATTGATGCTCAGCGCCCTGTTGTCGAAGTCAAAGAAGCGTTTGATGTTGTTAAAAATGCGTATAATGGTCTGGAAGTTAAGCATGAAGAATTTACAATGGTGTTAGATGACGCCCAATATGACGAAGCTGAGGAATGGATGCAAGCTTGTAACAGTGAGTACATGAAGTTTTCTATGATGTATAATGATTATTTGAATGCCAATGTTGCTGAAAAGGAAAATGATGATGTAGTAAATCAGGCTATAAATGAAGATGGAAATAATGCAAATGTGGACGGTGAGAATGATGAAAACAATAGTGTAAATGATGACCAGGAAAGTTTAGATATGCATGAGCCTGCTGAAGACGAACTAAGTAGTGTGACAAAGAATGTGAAATTGTCAAGCCCCTTTGCCATGAAACACGAGAAGCCAAAACTGCCCAAATTTGATGGAGATGTAAGACAGTACTTTATTTTCAAGTCAGATTTCCAGCATGCTGTAGAAGCCCACTGTTCTGAAAGGGACACCCTTACAATTCTTCGGTCGTGTCTTAATGCCCAACCAGCAAAGTTGATCGAAGGGATAAGTTCAGATTTGAAAACAGCATGGAAGTACCTAGATCAAAACTATGGGAATCCAAGAGTGGTGTCAGACACAGTCACGTCAGATCTAGAGAAATTTAAAATAATCCAGCCTGGTGAGGATTATCGCTTCTGCGAGCTTGTGAATTTAGTGCGAAGATCATACAATATTCTGAAAGAAGTCAAGAGGAAACAAGATATCGACAACACCCATGTAATATCCTTGATAGAGAGAAAGATGACCAAAGATGATCTTAGAGTATGGTCGCGCCATATCAACAGTCGTAAGCTTGAACCGTCAATGGAAAATCTTCTTGAATGGATGGAGGAGGAGATGACAGCCCGAATACGTTCTGGTGCCACAATCCGTAAGAACACTGGAACCAGATCAGGGGTAAATGCATTTGGTTATAGAGAATCGAAAGGGGGGGAAGTCAAATCGAAATGTTATGTTTGTCAGGAAAATCATTATGTAGATGAATGCAAAAGGTTTATCGATATGACCCCCAACGAAAGATGGAAAGTCGTAAGGGAGCAAAGAGCATGTTTTTCATGTCTAAAAAGAAGTAAAGGTCACACTGCTGTGAACTGTACTCGAAGGAAAGAGTGTGGTCAAGCAAATGGGAATGGTGACAACTGTAAGAAATACCATCACAAGCTGCTCCACTGCAACAACATCGAAGAGAGAACAGGTAATCGTGTCCATTCCACCCGAGATAACAACAGTACTACTATACTCCCTGTAATTACTGGTTTAGTTAAAGGAAAGGACAGTGTTATGTCAGAAGCTAATGTATTTTATGATAGTGGTGCCCAGATCTCTATGATTCGCAGAAGTTATGCGGAATCCTTGGCATTGGAAGGAAAGCCTATTAACATTGTGATCACTAAAGTTGGAGGAGTGGAAGAAGAGTTAACAACAAAATTGTATAAAGTTCCAGTGCACAATTCTGATGGGAAAAGAGTCCAAATAGTTCAAGCAGTTGGCATCGCACAGATTTCAGAAGACAGTCCCAATGGTAATATAAGCGAAGTCTCAAAAATCTTCGACATTCCTACTAGTATGCTGAAGCGCAAAGTTGGCCCGGTCGACCTTCTGATTGGAATTAATTACCCACAGTTCCATGCTGGTGAGACTAAAATTAAGAAGAATCTTGCCGTCAGAAAAAGTCCACTTGGTTGGGTGGTCTTTGGGACTGACTCAAAGGAAATGACTTTCCAAAACAATAACGTTTTGCATGTGCGTCTTGTCCCTCCAGTTGATTTGACAGATTTTTGGAAAACCGAATCAATGGGTGTTTCTCCCTCGTTATGCAATTGTCAAGAAGTTGAGATGTCTTTGAAAGAACAGCAAGAGTTAAAGTTGATAGAAGAATCCTGTGAGTTGGTTGGCAAGAAATGGATAATGAACTATCCTTGGAAGAAAGACCCTAGCCAATTGCCAAACAACTATTCGCAAGTCCTGAAGAAGCTGAAAAGTACAGAGCGTCGCTTGAGTAAACAGCCCAAACATGCCAAAGATTATGATACACAGATAAAAGAAATGGAAGATAGAAAGTTCTCGAGAAAGTTAACACAAGAGGAAGTCGCAGAACGGAAAAAGCCAGCCCATTATATCGCTCACCACGCCGTAGTTCGTGAAGAAAAGAAGTCTACGCCAGTGCGTATCGTTTTCAACAGTTCAGCGTCGTTCAAAGGACACTGTCTAAACGATTATTGGTACAAAGGTCCCGACCTACTGAATAACCTTTTCGGGGTAATACTGCGTTTCCGAGAGAATGCTGTTGCTGTTTGTGGTGACATTGCAAAGATGTATCATATGGTTGGCATCCCGCCAATTGATCAACATGTCCACCGCTTTCTTTGGAGGAGTTTCGAGACAGAACGCGAGCCTGATACCTACGTTAAGACAGTTCTTACGTTTGGGGACCGTCCATCGCCCACCATGGCCATCGTTGCAATGCGTAAAACTGCTGCGCTGAAAGAGGATGTCAAGCCGGAAGCTGCCAATTCAATCAAGAAAAATACCTACATGGATGACATATGTGACTCGCAGAACACCGTACAAGCAGCCAAAGAACTGACAAGAGATATTGATGAAGTACTTGATGCTGGCGGATTCCACGTCAAGGGATGGGTATCAAACGCAGTGTTGAATGATGAAGAGCAACAAGGAGAAGTCGTACTTGGTCAAGATCCGCTGAACGATACACAGAAAGTTCTTGGAACAGTTTGGAACCCTCAACAAGATAAGTTTTCATTCAAAGTTAAATTGGGACACACTGATGTTTCAGAATCGGATGAATCCCTACGCTCTACAGTTCCAGGAAAGTTAACAAAGCGTATCATTTTGAGCAAGATATCTGGAATCTTTGACCCGATTGGAGGTGGTGCCGCTGTTCTGATAAAAGCGAAGATAGCGATGCAAGAGTTATGGCTACGAGGGCTGGGTTGGGATGACGATGTCCCACCAGACGTCAGAAAGAAATGGACGGTGTTGTTCAATGAAATGTCTACCTTAAATGAGATTGAATTCGAGCGATGCTTAACACCCCTGAATGCAATTAGTAATCCATGGTTAATTGTATTCTGTGATGCTTCTCGGTTGGCATTTGGTGCTTGTGCATATATGAGATGGCAACTTGAAGACGGAGCATTCGGCGTAAGATTTGTTGCTGCGAAATCTCGGGTGGCGCCATTGAAAGAACTCACAATTCCTCGCCTGGAATTACAAGCTGCAGTCTTAGCCAGCCGCTTGGCTAAGGCCATCCTGAAGGAAACCCGCCTGAGGATTGCACGAACAATCTTCTTCTCGGACAGTCGTGTCACACTTGCATGGATTCAAGGACAGCCGCGAACCTATAAACCCTTTGTTTCTTGCCGAGTTAGTGAGATTCAATCAAACTCCGACCCTTCCAACTGGCTCCATTGTCCCACTGCAATGAACGTGGCGGACGATTTAACGAAAGGTATTTCGGCTGAAGAAGTGAATGGTAGATGGTTAAACGGTCCGGTGTTTATACAGTTACCCGAGGAGCAATGGCCGATGGAAACTGGCGTACCAGAAAGAAAGGAAGTTAACAAAGAAAGGAGACAAGTCAAGATCGTATGTCCTGTCGCTGTCAGCAAGCCGTTATTCGACTGTAAACGGTTCTCGAAGTGGAAACGAGTAATAAGGATCACGAGTTACATCCAGAGATTTATCCAGAATTGTCGAATCAAGTGTGGTCGAAATGAGAGAAATCAACAACCAGAAGTTGGTCCATTAACCAATCAAGAATTGGAAAACGCGGAGGAGTACTGGCTAAAACAGATGCAATCAAATCTCTTAAAGAGATTACCTAGAGGCGATTTCAAGACCCTGTCTCCATATAAGGACGATAGAAATATCCTCAGGGTAGGAGGTCGTGTGGATCCAACCTTAGTTTCCTACGATGAAAGACGTCCCGCACTTTTACCATA